AACTTAAGACCTATCAGCAATCTGAAATATATATCGAAGTTGGTTGAGGGTGCTGCTACCCAGCAAATTATGGATCACCTCAATAACAACTCACTTTTGCCATGTACTCAGTCTGCATATAGACAATTCCATAGTACTGAAACCGCACTGCTAAGAATAAAGAGTGATTTATTGATGGCTATGGATTCCCAGAAAGTCTCTCTTTTACTGTTATTAGATCTAAGTAGTGCATTCGACACCATAGATCATTCTTGCTTATTAGAAACTTTAAAGACCTGTTTTGGTATAGATGGTAGTGTTCTTGAATGGATAGAGTCGTATTTGGCGAATAGATATCAGAAGGTCAAAATAGACGATGTGATCTCTGATGATTTGCCAGTGCCTTTCGGAGTTCCACAAGGTTCTCGGCTGGGTCCTTTGTTATTTACTCTGTACACTGCTAATCTCATTTCAAATGTTCGAACAAATTTCCCCGAGATATCATGCCACTGCTATGCAGATGACACACAGCTGTACGTATCATTCAGACCTGATGAACATGCTAAAGAGCGATGTGTCTCACTCCTAGAAACATGTGTTGACTATGTACGTGGATGGATGTTGCAAAATAGGCTCATGCTTAATGATGGTAAAACTGAATTAATGATCATTGGCACACCTAAACAGACATCCAAAATCAACTTGAACAGTGTATCAATTGGAGACTCTGTAATAGAACCATCTGTTAGTGCAAGAAATCTTGGAGTACAGTTCGATTCGAATTTGAATATGAGAGAGCACATCACAAATGTCTGTAAATCAGCATACTACATGATCTATAATCTCAGACGTATTCGTAAATATTTAGATAAGGACATTACGAAAGACATTGTACATGCATGTATTACCAATAAGCTGGACTATTGTAATGGTCTACTGTATGGGATCCCTGACTCTCAAATAGTGAGATTGCAACGGGTTCAAAACACCTGTGCAAGGCTGATCTGTGGTTGTTCTAAATTCACACGGATCACCCCAATTTTGAGAAATCTACATTGGTTACCAGTACGCCAGAGAATAACATTCAAAATCTTGCTGATTGTATATAAAGCACTTCTTGGTCAAGCTCCCACTTATATCAAAGAACTGTTGAATTTCAAACCTAATCAACACAATCGCAACTTGCGCAGTTCCCGAGATACTTTGTTGCTACAGATCCCATCTATCAAAACAAAAATAACGCTAGGTGATCGAGCATTTGCTTGTGCAGCCCCAAAACTCTGGAATAACTTGCCATTTGAAGTCAGGAAATCACCATCTGTAAACGTCTTTAAGTCAAAACTGAAAACACTTCTTTTTAATTAACTGTACCGTAAATCTAAGCATATCAGGAGCTCTTGTAGCGCAGTAGAATATATACCTAATGTTGGATAGTTTCTGCGCTTTATAAATGTACTATTATTATTATTATTATTATTAAGAACAGATAGAGAAGCTCAAGCGCAACATAATGATACCTCTTAGAAGTCCATGGTATCCTTTTTAAGAAAGATATTTGCAAATGTAAAACATGCTTCAAATGGCTCCTTTTATAGCGCAAAATGACAGTATATACGCGATTTAATCGTTTTCTTTTGATTGCGCAAGAAATAATGATGAGAGAGATAAACCGATGTCAAGAACAGATAGAGAAGCTCAAGCGCAACATAATGATACCTCTTAGAAGTCCATGGTATCCTTTTTAAGAAAGATATTTGCAAATGTAAAACATGCTTCAAATGGCTCCTTTTATAGCGCAAAATGACAGTATATACGCGATTTAATCGTTTTCTTTTGATTGCGCAAGAAATAATGATGAGAGAGATAAACCGATGTCAAGAACAGATAGAGAAGCTCAAGCGCAACATAATGATACCTCTTAGAAGTCCATGGTATCCTTTTTAAGAAAGATATTTGCAAATGTAAGACATGCTTCAAATGGCTCCTTTTATAGCGCAAAATGACAGTATATACGCGATTTAATCGTTTTCTTTTGATTGCGCAAGAAATAATGATGAGAGAGATAAACCGATGTCAAGAACAGATAGAGAAGCTCAAGCGCAACATGATGATACCTCTTAGAAGTCCATGGTATCCTTTTTAAGAAAGATATTTGCAAATGTAAAACATGCTTCAAATGGCTCCTTTTATAGCGCAAAATGACAGTATATACGCGATTTAATCGTTTTCTTTTGATTGCGCAAGAAATAATGATGAGAGAGATAAACCGATGTCAAGAACAGATAGAGAAGCTCAAGCGCAACATGATGATACCTCTTAGAAGTCCATGGTATCCTTTTTAAGAAAGATATTTGCAAATGTAAAACATGCTTCAAATGGCTCCTTTTATAGCGCAAAATGACAGTATATACGCGATTTAATCGTTTTCTTTTGATTGCGCAAGAAATAATGATGAGAGAGATAAACCGATGTCAAGAACAGATAGAGAAGCTCAAGCGCAACATAATGATACCTCTTAGAAGTCCATGGTATCCTTTTTAAGAAAGATATTTGCAAATGTAAAACATGCTTCAAATGGCTCCTTTTATAGCGCAAAATGACAGTATATACGCGATTTAATCGTTTTCTTTTGATTGCGCAAGAAATAATGATGAGAGAGATAAACCGATGTCAAGAACAGATAGAGAAGCTCAAGCGCAACATAATGATACCTCTTAGAAGTCCATGGTATCCTTTTTAAGAAAGATATTTGCAAATGTAAAACATGCTTCAAATGGCTCCTTTTATAGCGCAAAATGACAGTATATACGCGATTTAATCGTTTTCTTTTGATTGCGCAAGAAATAATGATGAGAGAGATAAACCGATGTCAAGAACAGATAGAGAAGCTCAAGCGCAACATAATGATACCTCTTAGAAGTCCATGGTATCCTTTTTAAGAAAGATATTTGCAAATGTAAAACATGCTTCAAATGGCTCCTTTTATAGCGCAAAATGACAGTATATACGCGATTTAATCGTTTTCTTTTGATTGCGCAAGAAATAATGATGAGAGAGATAAACCGATGTCAAGAACAGATAGAGAAGCTCAAGCGCAACATAATGATACCTCTTAGAAGTCCATGGTATCCTTTTTAAGAAAGATATTTGCAAATGTAAAACATGCTTCAAATGGCTCCTTTTATAGCGCAAAATGACAGTATATACGCGATTTAATCGTTTTCTTTTGATTGCGCAAGAAATAATGATGAGAGAGATAAACCGATGTCAAGAACAGATAGAGAAGCTCAAGCGCAACATAATGATACCTCTTAGAAGTCCATGGTATCCTTTTTAAGAAAGATATTTGCAAATGTAAAACATGCTTCAAATGGCTCCTTTTATAGCGCAAAATGACAGTATATACGCGATTTAATCGTTTTCTTTTGATTGCGCAAGAAATAATGATGAGAGAGATAAACCGATGTCAAGAACAGATAGAGAAGCTCAAGCGCAACATAATGATACCTCTTAGAAGTCCATGGCTTTCTTTTTAAGAAAGATATTTGCAAATGTAAAACATGCTTCAAATGGCTCCTTTTATAGCGCAAAATGACAGTATATACGCGATTTAATCGTTTTCTTTCGATTGCGCAAGAAATAATGATGAGAGAGATAAACCGATGTCAAGAACAGATAGAGAAGCTCAAGCGCAACATAATGATACCTCTTAGAAGTCCATGGCTTTCTTTTTAAGAAAGATATTTGCAAATGTAAAACATGCTTCAAATGGCTCCTTTTATAGCGCAAAATGACAGTATATACGCGATTTAATCGTTTTCTTTTGATTGCGCAAGAAATAATGATGAGAGAGATAAACCGATGTCAAGAACAGATAGAGAAGCTCAAGCGCAACATAATGATACCTCTTAGAAGTCCATGGCTTTCTTTTTAAGAAAGATATTTGCAAATGTGATGAAAAACTAAAAGATTCCTTTAAATGTATTCCATGGAATCTATATATTGATGAAGAGAGCATTGATAACACATGTGAACTTCACACTTGTGTTGCAGGCAGCAATCAAAGATGTATTTATCAAAGGAAATAGTTAGAATGTCCAGAAGAAAGAGAAGAGCTTACAGGAAAGCAAAGAAAGAGAAGAGCTTACAGAAGAGCTTACAGGAAAGCAAAGAAAGCAAATAATCACATACTGTACATGTAAAGAGGATTTCCATAACAATGAAACACCTTGCTCTATTGTGTACACTCCAAGACATTTAAATGCCATTAACAAATCATGCATGCCAAAGTCTTGCCAGTATCATTCTTTGAGTATTTAAATAGAAGAACAGCTGAAAGGTCTTTTATCTATTCACACATTGAAAAGTGATTGTTATAACTTTCACTGATTGTGCATATATTAAGATGCATGGTGGGAAATCAATTGTTCAGGCAATGATTATTCATCAGCTCATCATGTTTATGCATAAGTCACAAAAAATATTGGTGAGGAGGGGATATGTTGTACTAACTGTCCTAAAATTCTCTATCAACAGGTAAGGTATATATGGAGGAGACTGCACTTGAACTGGATGTGACACCATGTTCACATGCAGGGCCAGATCATCAGTTGGGGGGAAAATGGGGTTAAACTTGCGGGGTAAGTATATGCTGTATATCTGGCCCTGTTGTCACAGTTCCATGTTAGTAGTTTTCTGCTGGCATGGATCTCCCCTGATCCTCCCCTGATGGCAATTTTCGAATATGATAAATCAAAATATATTAAAGCTCTTGAGCATTTCTCACTCCGTTTAACCATTATTTTTGTGTATTTTTGAGACGGTTTAGTAATGTAGTGAGTAAAAACTTGCTGAGAGGCAGCACAATTTGAATTTTCAAGTATTCTTTCTAACATCGGTAGGTTGAAACAAGGGAAACGCTCTCGGCGGTCTCGCCTGTATTACGCAATTCGATATGATGAAAAATTGAAGTTGGAACATTATTTATAGGCAGGGTGGCCTATCAGAAGGCCCCAAAAATGAAATCCTCTGAATATAATCAGCATTTTGAAGTGAATATTGAGTAAGAATCATGAACAAATAACAAAAATTGATTCATTTATTCTCATATTAATTTGTTAAAACATAATCCAAGGCTACTGACCTAATATCCTCTAGGAGCATCTTGGTAAATGTTACATACTCTTCCACGCTGGTCTTAGCCACCTTCTCTGTGAACCTTCAATGAGCCTTGACAAACTAGGATTCTTCATAGCAAAGTGCCCTCTGTTGTTGGGTGCAGCATACAGACCAAGCCTCTCCAGGATAAGATGCCTGCATCGTAGGTGATCAAGGGAGTATTTGAAGATCTTGGCTTGAGTCATGTCTGAGTTGTTCTGGATACCCATCCTGAAGTAGCTATACTGGAAACGAAGCTCTGGGGATAAATAAATGTAATTTGTAAATGAATATTGATTGATGTGTAGTTCAATTAAACAAGGGAAACGCTCTTGGCGGTCTCGACTGTATTACGCAATTCGATATGATGAAAAATTGAAGTTGGAACATTATTTATAGGCAGGGTGTCCATTAGCTGGCCCCCAAAAATGAAATCCTCTGATAAAATCCTCTGATAAAATCAGCACTTTGAAGTGAATAATTGATTAAGAATCATGAACAAATAACAAAAATTGATTGACTAAGGACTTATGCTTTCAAAATTATATCAAAAATTCAAAAAAATTACCTAATTAATTTTTTTTGACGCCGCCGTCACCGGAAAAGCGGTGCCTATGTCTCACTTTTTTGCTACACAGGCGAGACAAAAACTAGATGGTTGTTCGACTGCGCGCAGTCGAAAATGATGCCTCCGCCATAGAGCAATTTTTCAAATTCAAGTTTGATTGTAAGCCATTAACAGCTTCACAGAATATCATTATTACAAGCTATTTTTTATATACATGTATAACCCTTTGGTCTTTGATCTTATGACCCTAAAATCTAATCTGTTCGATGACTCTGCAAGATACATACATGTCCCAAGTTTGATAGTAATCCATTCTTCAGTTCTAATAGGAAGGCATTCACAAGCTATTTTTGAATACATAATGAGCCCCATGACCTTTGACCTTCGGCCTCATGACCCCAAAATCTACTCAGTTCATTGGCTCTGCAAGATAAATACATGTTTTGAGTATGATGGTAATCTGTCCATCGGTTCTAATAATAATGTGATCATAAGCTATTTTGCATACATAATGAGCCCTGTGACCTTTGACCGCAAAATCTAATCAGATCATTGGCTCTGCAAGATACATACAGTACATGACTAAAGTTTGGAATACATCAATCGGTTCTTGAGGTAACGTGATCACAAGCTATTTTTGCATACATAATGAGCCCTGTGACCTTTGAACTCATGACCCCAAAATCTAATCAGTTCATTAGCTCTGCTATCCTGCCAACATTTGAAAATTATGGGAATTAAGAATTTTTAGCACGGTATGTCTTCGAAAAGAAGAATTCTGTACCCTTAATCAGGCGTTCGCACATGAAGCGGCAGTGTAACTGGCAATACGCGGTAAATCTGTGCAAAAAAAGCGAATACAAATTCGCTGCTCAATCATGCAGCCCTTCAACACACGCAATAAGTGAACTCTCACATCGCGGCAAGCTTAATTTGGCTTAAGCAACACAAAAAAAAAAAAAAAAAAATCCGGGATATTCCACATTTTGGGGTCCAAAAAATCCAGAAAAACGGTATATTCCGGATTATTCGGGAGGGTTGGCAGGTATGTAGTGCTGTAAGTCAGACGCTATAGCGTCTGTAAGTCAGACGCTATGTTCGTGTTCGGTTCGATTCGGCAGTGCTGTAAGTCAGACGCTATGTTCGTGTTCGGTTCGATTCGGCAGAGTTCGGCAATTTTTCACCCGAACTTGGTTCGGTTCGGGGTTCGGTAATATAATAGCAAGCAGCGTTATAGCCACGGCGGTCGGCACTGGGCGGGCCGGCCAGCCAGCCGGGCCCGACCAGCACGGAGAACTTGATTGATTGATTTTTTTTTTTTTTTTTTTTCCTCTTGTCAGAGGTACTTTATTCATTTACAAAAATAACCAACACACAAATCATTACATCATAACAAAATTTTACATTCACTTTAAGTATTTTCTTAAACTATTAAGAGAAAATCTTCAGTGATATAAAATATCCCCGAAGATTTTCCTTAGTTCCCAGATGCTATTTCAAAAGCTCTCAAAAAACTCTCCAAAAAAAATACTATGTCCCGAGAGCCCCCGAAACAACATCCGAGATGTTATCCAAGAGTAACTCGTATTTAAAAACATGCCATATGAAAAAGCTGTTGTATGGTTTACCTTGAAAATAATTTAACATATACATCAAATTGATTGATTGATTTTTATTCGACAAGCTTCCAACATACAACAATATACAATAATAACAGATCAAAAATAAGTCAGCTTGAACAGGATAACCCACGAAAGCTCGAGAGCTTATTTCCAGTGGGGTCCCTTACAGACATGTATAAAATTAATAAGTTAAAATAGTAATATTTACAGACAGATAAGAAAATTAAAAGAACTACTTATTAAAGATAATAATAATAATAACAACATTAAACTGATGATAGAAATGATATTAAGTACAAGAAGAAAAAGAAGAAGGAGAAGAAGAAAAAGAGGAGAAGGAAGAAGAGGAAAATAATGATGAATTTGTAGAATTTCTATAACGTACGAAAACATAAGTATATACAACATGAAAAGGTATGAACCGACAGAAGAATAAAAATTTCAATCATATAACATGTCATTCACTTCTCTTCTCTGACTGTCAAGTATTAGGTATTCCTTTAATTTCCTCTTAAAATGATCATAGTTTCCTATTTCTTTTACACCATTGGGAAGGGAATTCCAATGTTTTATGGCATTGTAATAAAACGAATTTCCAATACTACCTACTCTTTCTGGTAAGTTAAAGTTGAATCGTCTATTTCTTGTATTATAATCATGTACGTCAGTAACAAGATCGAAGTTGGATCGAATATAATGATTCGACCTAGTATGATATATTTTATGCACGTGATGCAATGCGAGTTGTTTTGATCTTTGGTCGACTTCAAGAAAACCAGCTTTAGAAAGTTCGCTGTAGCCAACATGAGTTCTTGGACCAGAACAGTTGATAAATCTCACCATTTTGTTCTGTATAATCTTCAACTTCTTTTGATCTGACTTGTTTATGTTACTATACCATGCAGGGTTAGCATAGTCAAATAAACATTGAATAAGAGCAAAACAGAGTGTACGTCTTGCTTTTAAATCCATACAACTTTGATATCTGTACAAAAATTTCAGACGAGAATTTGCTTTTTTTACAACTGATTCTACTAAAGATGAAAATGAAATTGCGCTAGCCAACTCAATGCCTAAATACTTCACAGACTCTTTTCTCTTGATTGCTTGATTATTGTGTGTCACTTTGAATTCAAATGACTTTTTAGAACTACTTTTAGAACAAAATAAAATGCTTTCTGTTTTTCCCAAGTGTAAAGAAAGCTTATTATCAGTCATCCAATCGACACACGTAGACAGCTGTTCACTGAGCTTTTCCTCAATATATTTAGGATCAGGATTTGAATAGAGTAGTACGCTGTCATCTGCGTACAATAATAGTTTGAAGTCTTTTATACAAATACACATATCATTTATATAACTTGAAAATAGAATTGGGCCTAAAATGCTTCCCTGAGGAACACCGCATGTTATAGGCATTAGTTTGGAACGAATATCATGAATGGCCACTACTTGGTGCCGATTAGATAAGTAGGATCTGAACCAATCTAAACTTGCCTTAGCAAAACCCATTAGTTGTAACTTCTTCAATAAGACGCAATGATTAACTGTATCAAAAGCTTTTTGCAGATCAAGGAGCACCATACCAACAAAGCGCCCTTGGGAAGTTTCTCTCCTCAAATAATCAGTCAAATGAATTAGACATGTTTCAGTCGAATAATCATGTCGAAAACCAGATTGAAATTCATAAATTATAACTTCTCCACACTGCTTCCGACCAGCACAAATTTCACATTAAAACACTGCTCTAAACGTAATTATTTGTGAAGAAAAGTACTACTTACATTCGTATTTCCGTCTTGAATCGTGTTTTATTTTCAATTTTAAAAGAATCATGTTTTCAATTTGTCAATATACAGTTATTGACTGGCAGGGGGTGTAATATAACATTATTTAGACCACTGAAGGGAGTAACATTTCCCAGGTGGTTATATTTTCACGAGGGAAAATACTCCCTTCAGGTCCAAAGAATGTTATATACCCCCTGCCAGTCAATAACTGTTATATTAGAGAGCCTTTTTTTTGGGGGGGGGGGGGGGGGGGGGGGTCCATATTTTTTTTTGCCCGAAATTTTATTTTTTATTTTTTCAAAATTACGTAAAAATTATCCGTCGAGGTAGTTCAAGAAAGAAAGAAAAATTCAAAAACAATTTTGGGGAAAAAAAAAAAAAATCCAAAAAAATCCAAAAAAAAAAAAATTCTTACCCTAAAAAGCATTTTTCGGGAAAGAAAACAAAAATTACCCAAAAAAGCATTTTTTGGGAAAAAAACAAAAATGTGGACAAAATAATTTCAAGGGAAAAAAAAAATTCATGAAAAAATATTGAAAAAATAAAATAACCCTCGGTTAGGGTGTAATGTGTGTAATCGGTGACATACAGTCCTCAAGAGGGCGACATGCATTGATTAAAAATATATTCATTTCACCAGCCGGTAAAATATAACACCGAAAAGTGACCGGCCAGGAAAATATAACAATTTGGATCCTCGCAATTGATATCACGTGACGAGCTCTGGACCAATCACATCTCGGTATCTGTCTAAGCTATCTAATATTAAATGATATTTTTTAAAGATTTTTCGAGACGGTTGTTGTCTAATGTTAGAGTCATGAAAACTGCCATCGTCAATAACTGTTTTTAATAAGTTTTTATTTTCAATACGAAAAATATAAAATCCCTATTTTTCCTGAATAAATAAATACCATGCTATAATATATATTTATTTCATTATTTATATTGCAAAATCTGTCCGATATTGTTACAATTAAAATATTATTTGTTTGTTGAATGGCTTGAGCTGAACATGTTTTGATCACGCACATGTAGATCTATTCTTGTTTATGGCTTGCGATTGCGACGTATAGCGTGGTCAGGATTTGGGATTTAAATGGCGCCAGTGAAGTTGCGCCCACCACTCGATAAACATAAATCACAAAGGCAGAAAATGGGAAAAAATTAAATATAAAATGAGCAATCATGACATGAAATTTAGGTACAAAATGACAAGTTTGTTACCTTGCAAAAACGTTTACATTTTTCTGCCGAACATCCGAACCAGGCCTTTGCGTTCGGTTCGGTTCGGTTCGGAAGTGCCATGTTCGGCGAACTTTCGTTCGGTTCGGCGGTTCGGCTACAGCACTACAGGTATGTATATATACTAGACCAAAAGCTTCGGTCTCTCTAATCGTTGATTGTTCCACTGAGACTACGTCTGGCTCCACTAGACCTCCGATTATAGAGACTGAAGTTCGTCCTATGGGGACTGTACGGAACAAATGGTTCGGTTCGGTTGGACCGTGATGAATGAGATATGCAACACGATTTTCACTCTTTTCATCCTCATAAATGCTGGAATATTGCAATAATTAGAGTCTAGATCTATATTAAAACTAGATGAAATTTGACTGCGCGCAGTCGAAAATGATGCCTCCGTCATAGAGCAATTTTACAAACTGAAACGGAAGAAATTTTTCAAATTCAAGTTCAATTGTAATCCATTAACAGGTTCTCAGAATATCGGGATTACAAGCAATTTCTCATATACATATATGACCCTTTGACCTCATCTTTGACCTCATGACCCTAAAATCTACTCAGTTCATTGGTTCTGCAAGATGTCCTGAGTTAAATAGTAATCCATCTGTCAGTTCTAATGAGAATGCATTCACAAGCTATTTTTGCATAAATAATGAGCCCATGACCTTTGATCTTATGAACCAAGAATCTACTCAGTTCATTGGCTCTGCAAGTAACATACATGACCTAAGTTTGGCAGGAATCCATCAATCTGTTCTAATGATAATACGATCACAAGCTATTTTTGCATAATGTGCGCTGTGACCTTTGACCTCGTGACCCCAAAATCTTATCAGTTCATCGGCTCTGCAAGTAACATACATGACCTAAGTTTGGCAGGAATCCATCAATCGGTTCTTGAGATAACGTGATCACAAGCTGTTTTTGCATACATTATGAGCCCTGTGACCTTTGACCTCGTGACCCCAAAATCTAATCAGTTCATCGGCTCTGCAAGATACATACATGACCAAAGTTTGGCAGGAATCCATTAATCGGTTCTTCAGATAACGCGATCACGAGAACGGGACGTACGTACGTACAGACGTACGTACGTACGGACAGACAACCCGAAAACATAATGCCTCCGGCTACTTCGTAACGGAGGCATAAAAATAGAAATAACATATAAGTCTATATAGCCGATTCGATAGCTTGCTCCTAAATTAATGCTTAATCCAAAAAAGTCTCGTAGTCAACTAACTCCGTTGTCAGCCATCTTGGTTTTAATTGATGAATATTCATTTTTTCTTTTTGAACGTCCAATAGCTACCGTAGCTACGTACAAGTCAGCCCGGCTTGACCCATGAAACGAGTGCTTTGATTGGCCATTGGCTATGTTTTGGTTGACCCGGAAATATATCGGCCGCCGGGTCATATAGCTCTATGTTCGAGTGCATGAACGTACGTACTGTTTCACAGTTCTGGACGAAAATGGGACAACTCGTATAAGCAAGTCCTTAAATTCCGCATTTAATAATTAGTCAGCAAATTTTGATAACTGTAATTAGGAGATAGACACCAACCTAATTTACATCCGATTTAGAAATCAGAAAATTAGATCTAAATAAAGAAAATCGGGAAGAAAATGTCGTGAACGAAAAGATGTTTATCGCTGGCTCTAGATTACCCCCACGGTACGAGATCTCTGTACTACCGTCTGTATATGGGGAATGTCAACAAATGTCAGTTTTATTAAAGAAATGACCCATATCAGACGGTTATTTCTGTCTATATATATACATGACGTAAGTTTGGCAGGAATCCACCAATCGGTTCTTGAGATAACGTGATCACGAGCTATTTTTGCATACATAATGAGCCCTGTGATCTTTGACCCCAAAATATAATCAGTTCATTAGCTCTGCCAGATACATACATGGTTTAACCCTATTTAGCCCGGGCTATTTTGAAACTGCATAGCCCGGGGGGGGGGGGGGGGGCTTCTAACACATTGATAACACATGTGAACTTCACACTTGTGTTGCAGGCAGCAATCAAAGATGTATTTATCAAAGGAAATAGTTAGAATGTCCAGAAGAAAGAGAAGAGCTTACAGGAAAGCAAAGAAAGAGAAGAGCTTACAGGAAAGCAAAGAAAGCAAATATCACATACTGTACATGTAAAGAGGATTTCCATAACAATGAAACACCTTGCTCTACTGTGTACACTCCAAGACATTTAAATGCCATTACCAAATCATGCATGCTCAAGTCTTGCCAGTATCATTCTTTGAGTATTTAAATAGAAGAACAGCTAAAAAGTCTGGGGCTCAGTAACAGACAGTTTGTGCCATTTGTTAGATGTTCTTGCTGACAGAGAGGGGGAGGAGAAGGACAATGTGTAGTCTCATTAAATAAGTGGGCCTTTGCCTAAGCTGGTAATGCATATAAGATAGGTTTGGATACAACTACATTGCAATGAAACCTGAGAATTTGTATATTGATATACATACCGATACTCTCCAGGTCTTCTTTCAGGATTGCTGGACTGTCAGATAATATGGTCAAGACTTCTGCTATGGGAAATCTGCACTTCTCCATCAGCAACTTAACTGCATTCAACTGAGCACTACATATGGTCAGTATCTATGGCCAATCTGCAATCAACTTCTGCAGTTGTCCTTCCACAAAGCCTAGCTTCCTCAGCTTCTTGACCCTGCTCTGTAGCTGCTGAAGTGATGCCTTCCACAGAGATGCATTTCCATCAAGGGCCTTCATCAACCGTCTCCAGTTCAATCCCAACAAGTGAAGGTGGTCGATGTCACTAAGTAGTTTGTCCATCTTCACAGACAGGATACCAGGATTAGCTACTAGCATTGCAAGAATGCTTCTACAATCACAATCCAGATGGACCAGCTTTTGAACAAGGGGTCTGAGATTCTGCACGGATATTACATATGTTTTTGAAGGTTCTGCTAAGTTCAGTACAGACCTAACTTGGCTGAGAAATGTTTCCAAGTCATCTTCAGTTTCTATCAAAGTAATAACTGCAGGTTCAGTGTCACTGTAGCTTGCACTGGTGCTACTGAAATGTGAGGCAAAAGGTGCTGGTTGTGCAATATATACATTTTAGTTTCCCAACTTTGTGGAACATGGATAAAATTCTTCTGTCCATAAAAAGTGGATAACTTGTACTACATGTGGCAAACATCCTACTTTTTCCTACTGTAGAATGATGAATGTGACTTGCAGAAACAGCTGTGTGGTAATTTGATGACCAAGAAGAGAGGACACATCTCTGCAGCTTCCCAAAGAAAGGCATCTGTCTTGAAAGGACACGCAAGGTCAAATAGCTACTGGCCATGATGGTTGTCTTACAATCTTTTAGCTCTCCCTGAATTAATAAAAGAAAAATGCAAAAAATAGACATTAGGCTAATTCATTTGGGCTCCAGTCTTCTGCACATGATGAGAGACTAATAAACAAATTATTCTGGATAGTCAAGTATTATGATATATATATATAGTGAAATTCAAATGTATAATGGGTTTTGAATGTTTATATAAAGTAACAACGTGAAACAAATTTGCATTATATGACAATTAAAGTATTAACATAATAATATTATAACAATGTAATATAGCTGCATAGTGCACACAGTATCAATAATCTCAGTGTGGATTATGACGTGTTGCTTAAAATTTACACATGACTGATATCTACTTAAATGGTCCCTTAAAACATTTAAAGAAAAAACTTCTCTAATCTATGCTAAAATATCCCTTCTGCGCCCAGTAGGCCTGAGTCATCACGGGTTTTGCCGAACCCGGGTTTGACTTGAAAATTTCGGGCGGGGACCGGGTACCCGAAATTTTCACCACTGCACCCCGACACTAGAAATCGTGTGCATGCAACGGCGGGAGTTAGACTAAGTTGCTGTTCAATAATGCGACGGAAAAGACAGTTACTGCTTTCAAAACAATAAAATAATCCATTGAATTAAATTAAGATGCTTTAAAAAATAAATGGATATCATTTCAGTTGACGGTAGGTGTTTTTATATCAATGGAATGATGACGCTGAAGTACATATATTAAAGCATTAAAAAATGAGAAATATCAGCTAAAAGAGGGCGGGAAAAAAAACAAAAAAACATTCAAATCTGAAAATATCGGCCCAAAGAGAGCGACAAAAAAAAAGTTAAAAAAAAAAAAACTTTTCCGACCGACCGAACCATGTTTTGGCACCCAAAGGGCAATACAACAAGTTTTTATTTTAGGCCTAATAGAAGTAGAGGTTCGCTATTCATAAAACGGAATGAGGGTTGCTATTCATAATAGGAGTAGAGGGTCGCTATTCATAATACGAAAATGAGGGTCGCTATTCATAATAGGAATAGAGGGTCGCTGTTCATGATATGAAATGAGGGTCGCTATTCATAACATGAAATGAGGGTCACTATTCATAATGAGGAATGAGGGTCTCTATTCATAAGGTTCATTATTCATAAGGGTCACTATTCATGATAAGAGTATAGGTTCGCTTTTCATAACAGGAGTATAGGGTCGCTATTCATAATACGAGAAGAGGTTCGCTATTCATAATACAAAATGAGGGTCGCTATTCATGATACAAAATGAGGGTCGCTATTCATAACTAGAAAATTCGCAATCTGTATTGCCGCGCAATACGAATGTATCTCCCCCGGCAGTCGCAGCGATTTTGTGTCATCCTTATGTTCGAAGGAGGGATAAAGATCCCCTCTCTCCCCTCCCTGAAACAAAAGGATGACGTAGAGATCGCTACTAGTGGCTCAGACTATTGTCAAGACTAGGAGCAGCATCACCAAAACAATATGTGTGTAGATTAGAGTATAATGCATCTCTGTAGAAAATTTGAAAGAAATCTGTCAAGAAATGTGGCAGTTAGAGCGCACAAAAGACAGCCACCAAAATATGACCTTTGACCCTATAACAGACGGAACACAGGTGGCAGCATCACCAAACACTAAAAAGGTGTAGATGATTGTACTAAGACACACCTCCATACAACATTTCAAAGAAATCCATCAAGAAATGTGGCAGTTAGAGCGCATTAAAGACATATTTGACCTTTGACCATATAAAAGATGGAACAATGAGGGCAGCTTCACCCAAAGTGTCGATTGGTAACAAGATACATTTCTAATTCTCTATACAAAATTTGAAAGAAATCCATTATGAAATATGATCTGCAGACCGCAAACTAGACACCCACCTAAAAATATGAACTCTTGACCCTATACAAGACGGAAAACTGGGGGCAGCATCACCAAAAGTTGTAGGTCAGTAGATTATACAAAGATACACCTTCACACAAAATTTGAAAGAAATTTGTTAAGGAATGATGTAGTTAGACCGCAAACTAGAGTGCCACAAAGACATCTATCAAAATATGACCTTTGACCCTGTAAAAGATGGAACACTAGAGGCAGCATCACCAAAATCTATATGCTTGTAGATTATACCAAGATACATCTTTGTTAAAAATTTGAACAAAATCCCTTGAAAAATGTGGCCTATAGAGCGCACACAAACCATCCAAAAAAAATATGGCCTTTTAACCTATAGAATTCGGAACACTGGGGGCAGCATCACCAAAAGTTATAGGTGTGTAGATTATACCAAGATACACCTCCATACAAAATTTGAAAAAAATCCGTGAGGGAATGATGTAGTTAGAGCGCACACAAGAATAAAATAATATGACGCGGCGGCGTAACGCTGCTGAATCTAAAGTACCCCACTGGCATACTGCCGGGGGATACAATAAGAGTAGAGGGTCGCTATTCATAATAGGAGTAGAGATTTCCTATTCATAAAAGTAGTAGAGGTTTGCTATTCATAATACAAAATAAGTGTCGCTATTCATGATACAAAAGGAAGGTGGCTATTCATAACAGGAATAGAGGGTCGCTGTTCAGTGTTCATAATAGGAGTAAAGGTTCGCTATTCATAATACGAAATGAGGGTCGCTATTCATCATAGGAGTAGATAAGAGATTCGCTATTCATAATAGGAGTAGAGGTTCGCTATTCATAATATGAAATGAGGGTCGCTAGTACATGTGTAGATATCCCACCCCAAAATAAAAACGAGGACAAATTTCTCACTGCATTTTTTACTTTAATTGTGTTGCATTAAAAAGACCTTATCAGACCTCCTTACCCATCACCAACACCCTCACCCCAACAAAAAAAGACAATAAAAGTTTGATTCATACTCGGATTGCATAACCTCTTTGTATTATACATGACGCGAAAACCGTCAAGGTCCGAACGTGTTCAAGCCCCCTATCCCCTAAAGTCTCAAACAAATCACAATTCTAAAGTGCTAGATGAGCAACCTTTTCTGATAGATTCCACATCGTTTTTTCACAATGCAATCACATGATCAGAAGTCAACTTTATCTTTAATGTCACATTGGCATAGCCTGGATAAGATCAGTCGGAGGGAGGGTGGTTGGGCAAAATGTCACACATGGGAAGTCAAATTACAATACGATTATTTGTGTTCATGGTGTCCTTTTTTTTTCATCACCATAAGGGCGGGAGATGTCTCTATATACTATATATAAAAGGTGAAATATACTTAAAAACAAGACAAATATTCAGGGCCATGTGTCACCTTGGGGGTGTCCTCCGTCCAATATTTCCCTTTGTTATGAGCATTTTGGAAATTGCTTAGGCCTATTTTATTTAATGAATAACGACCCTCATCCCGTATTATGAATAGCGACCCTAACTCTATATTATGATTAGCGACCCTCATTTCATATTATGAATAACAAACCTCTACTCCTATTATGAATAGCGACCCTCAATTCGTATTATGAATAGCGACCCTCTACTCCTATTATGAATAGCGACCCTCTGCTCGTTTTATGAATAGCGACCCTTATTTCGTATTATGAATAGCGACCCTCTACTCCTATTATGAATAGCAACCCTTTTCTCCAAATATGAATAGCAACTCTCATTTCTTATTATGAATAGCGACCCTTTTTTCCAAAATATGAATAGCGACTCTCATTTCGTTTTATGAATAGCGACCCTCTTCTTCTATTATGAATAGCGACCCTCATTTCGTATTATGAATAGCGACCCTCTTCTCCTATTATTAATAGCGACCCTCATTTCGTATTATGAATAGCGACCCTCTACTGCTATTATGAATAGCGACCCTTTACCCCTATTATGAATAGCCACCCTCTTCTTGTTTTATGAATAGCAACCCTCTACTCCTATTATGAATAGCAACCCTCATTTCGTATGAATAGCGTCCCTCTTGTCGTATTATGAATAGCGACCCTCTCGTCATATTATGAATAGCGAGCGACCCTCATTTCCTAATATGAATAGCGACCCTCTACTCCTTTTTATGAGTAATGAACCTCATTTCGTATTATGAATAGTGACCCTCTTGTCGTATTATGAATAGCGGTCCTTTTGATTAACGAACCTTATTCCTTTATAAAAAGTGACCATCTATAACCATTATGAATAGCGGACCTGCAGGTATGGGAAGTTCCACATTATGAATAGCGGTCCTTATGAATAGCGGACCTTATGATTAGCGGTCCTTATGAATAGCGGGCCTTATGAATAGCCGTCCTTATGAATAGCGGTCCTTATGAATAGCGGTCCTTATGAATAGCGGTCCTTATGAATAGCGGTCCTTATGAATAGCGAATGGACTCCGTGTTGAGTATCAAAATCATAGGTGCAGTGCAGAATACCCTGTGCAGGTCATGGTTAAAATTATGCACGTAAATGTGCGTAGTTCACTGGCAAACCGATGAACCAATAAAAAGCTACGAATATGAAGCATGTGATTCAATACAAAAACACCACGCTCCGGTCAAATAGGCTAACTACGCAATACACATACCCTGGATCAAAATAAATACATGTATTCATGTTTTATCTCAGATGCTATTCTTAAAGGACTTACAATATTTTGCATTTTAAAATTGTCATTTATCTTGTGACAATAGGCATGCATGAACAAAGCAAACAGCAGTTGTTTACACAAATGAATTCAAATTATGAGAACTACCATTAACAATTTCATTCTCTTCTCAAAATTTGATGTCCAAAAAATTCTCATTCATGAAGAAAATGTGGATTTTGTACCTACCGGTAAAGGCTTATTGGTCAAATGGAGGATTTCCATTTTGTGTTATATGGTCTAGGAAAAGGTATAGTACCTTACTCCTTCATGTCAATGTACATGTAGTTGTACTAGCAGGATAAGGTAGATATATATTGCCTTACTCCTTAATGTTATTTTAATTCAGGATAAGGTATACAAACTTACTGCTGAATGTCATCTTGTATAGGATAAGATATATTAA